CCCCCCCCCCTGAGTTAGTCCTACCTGGTGATACTCAGAGAGGATGTTGTGAATTTCCTCCACCTCCTCACTGGAGATTTCTTTTATTATCAATGTGTGGTCGTATGATGTCAGCAGCAGCTCCACGCGTTGCCCCTCCTCGTCTTTTAGTGGAGGACTGCGGGCCAGAGACACCTGTTGGTGAGAGAGAGGATGGCAACATGAGAGATGAAACGAACAATACATCTGCCAAGTAAAACCTTTACTTCCATTACACCAGTGTCCTGTTTTACAACCGTTTTTACACTGAAACACTATTTATAAAGCAAACATACATTTTAAGATACAAGGCATACTCATGTTATTGTTATCATACTATAACTTTGAAAGCATTTTGCGTTTATGCACACTTTGTAACAAGACATTTGCTGCATCACTTTACAAATGTGAAGAAAAAACACTTCTATGAAGACCACACCTAGAGTGCATTCATTAAACATTATTGATGAGACTTAAAAGGAACTATAGGCCTCATAGTCATCGGTCAATCATTGATTATGATGACGCTAATCACTTATAATTCTGCATAGATTATTTAATGAAATTAAATGCATGCAAAAGCGTCTCACTTTATTTACCACCAGCTATTATGACTTTCTGATGAAACATTATTATAGATGCACCAATACATCTGTACAGTACATATACAACGATCACTTCTGATACTGTACTAAAGCAGACATGTGAGTTGAGTACTGGGGTGTGCATAGGTCGGTATAAATAGTCATAACATTATAAGCCCCATCAGTCAACCCCTAGTTTAGAACGAGTCATTAGCATCCATAAGACACTTTAATTTATAATCAATAAGACACATCTATAATATTGTATTGCTGTTGATATACTGCATCAGAGACTTTGAACTGTGTTAGAGTAGTCATGAATTATTATGCATGCATTACTAAGACTGCCCTAGTGATACATTATAGATATGGTCTTTGTAGAAAGTGTTACCTAAGCATTTATCAGCATATTTATTAAAGCGCACATACAGTATGCCTCACATAGCAATTGTGGGCTAAGCAAATGTGCGCTGAGCAGACGACGACTCTGTCTGCCACCTGGCACATGCAAATATCACACAAAGGAATGCAAATTTAGAAGGGAGCAGCTCAATTGATGCAGCAAATTGTCTGTTTTTTAAGAAAACACACACTGAAAAACCTTTATGCTTAGTGTTCATGAAATACTGTGTCTCTATTTTCCATATAGTTAGATCTTGTTAGGGAAGGTGTTGTTTTTTCTGTCCATGGTTTTTTGTTCGCACAATCCAGTGCTGATTTGCATTGAATTTGAAGCTTTACCTGATAATCTTGGTCCTCTATACCGAAGCGCTCTCGCAGGTTTCTGAACACCTGCGGGCAGTAGTCTTTAAATTTGAACTGTCCTGGAAGATTCTCTCTGAAAGAAAAACATAAAAGGATTCAATGCAGCTTGATATACTTTGCTGCTGCAGCATTCTTCACTCAGCATATCATTAGCAACTGTTGTTGACTGGGAGCTTCACAACAGATGCAATGTTTCCATAAAAGACATATTTTTTGAATACATTTTTTTCAAATGTGTTATTTCTGTTCCCAAAAGTAACATGATTACATTTCAGCTTATGCTTGACTGACATTCTCTTACAAAATGAATTTGATCCAAACAAAGATGGTAACCAATTCAAATTGTGTTCATTATTTAACACAAATAGTGTATCTTTGTAGTATATATAATACCACTAAAAGCTACAATATGCTGTTTTTTCGATTGTCCAAATTGAAATCATCATGGGTTACTATCAAACTATTTGACTTAATTCTCTTTATGCCCTTCTGTTTCACTTAAGTGTTTTCTACATCAAGCACCATGAAACACACTTGAACTAATCTCACCAAGGTAACAGTAATTTTTAGCTTGAGAAAAGATAGTGTGTTGTTCTCCCCACTTCTGTTTATAAGTCTTTACACAACCTGGATTCCTGGATGGATTAAGGGATTATTGAAAGCCTCAAGTTTTCTACACTCTATTAGTATGGAAACTGAACCTAGAGGCAGTGTATAGCACAGCTTTCATATAGTTCCCATTTAAAAAAAGCCTTTTTGTGGTTATACTTTCTCTTATTATTGCTCATCCTCTGCCAGTGCAATATGATCTGAGGGGTTTAATTAAACAATGTTTTGTCTTAAATATGTAAATAAAAGAAAAATGCATTCCCAAAGCTGGTGTACACTTTCATTATTTTACATTACATTGACAGACATTGCTTGGCACCATCCCCCAGCCAAGCAACATTATCATATTGTTTGGGCAGTTATTGTAAGTAATAATGGTTGTAACAGTGTTTAAGTTATTGTTACTGCAGTAAAAGCATTGTTGTTCTCTAAAGGGAGGACTGCGATTTCCTTTAACCACAGGCCAGCATATAAATCAGGGGCCACAAATAAATCTGTGCAAATCAGAGGAAGCAGGATGCAGGTTCCTACAATGAGACGGACAGATTTGGGTGGAGCACAGTACTTGTTGAAGAGGTGGTTGCTGACTTTGATCTTGGTGCTGGCTTTGAAGTCGTCTGGGAGCAGCATGACAGGTACAGGCACGTGGCTCAGGTCGTTAATCTGCGCATGATCAATGGATGAAGAGTGAATGAACACATATTCACACATATTTTAAAATTATTTAAAAAACCCACGTACCTACCGAGTGATTGACGCCCCACATCAGCACGCTCAGCACGGGGTCACTGGCTCGGAAAACCTTCACTTTCTGCTGCACGAAATGCTTCTTCTTGGTCTTCCTTTTGGGCGCCAGGCTGCTCAGAGAGCTGGAGGTGGCTCCGGGGGAAGACATGGCACCTGTATCGCAGTCTGAGAGCAGGGTGAGCTGTATCTGTAGTGGCGTCCTGTCTATGTAAAGTAGCCTAAAGTCCGCCTTGTAGTCTGTCTCTGCAGCAACAACCTGCTGACTGAACACCTCCTGCTCTACAGGCTTTGCTCCATTCAGGGCCACTATGAAACTAAACACCGACAAAACTCGGAACTAAATCAGCATTACAGTCGGTAAAATGTAGCAATGTTCAGAAATAATCTTTACTCATCTCATGCACGTGATGTGTGACTGGTTTCAGTGGTGGAAAGTAGCATTAGCTTAACTCAAGTACTCTACTAAAGCTACTTCACTTGAGTATGGATTTTATTTTGAAATGGGTTCTTTTGCCAACGATATGTTTGGACTATAGTGTCATCACTGCAGATTATTTGATGTATAACATAATGAGTTATGTTATTGGCCATTTATAATATTAACACTGATAATAGTCATTATCCTCATCATTATCATTTCATATACCTCCTCACAAATACTAAGATACAATCATTTTGTGACAAATGATAAATAAATGCGTCTCATGTTGCTCAATTTTAAGGATTGTTAGAGCCCCTTATTATCACTTAATCATCCCTTTAGATTTATCTTGGGCCTGGCAGCCTTATGACTTGTAACCACTGTCGTAAGGTTTATAAACTATGTTATACAACTCCATTCATCTCTGAGGTTGATAAAAATAAAACGCCTTTCAGTATAATTGTCTTAACAAAAACGTAATGCTTTAACTAAGGTACTAAACACCTTAGTTAATGTTATGAAACATATGCAGTTATTTCAATTTTGATGTCACGCAAGTCTAATTTATGTCAACATTTTGACTAACCAACATATTGTTGCTAGTAAGAAGATAATAAACTGTCAAATTGTTTTATTGTAGCAAAATCATCAATCCAATATTGATACATTAGTTCATTGGGTTTGTTCTACCTTCAAACTCCTTTATGTTCAATAACAGACATTTTTGCATGACTTGTTTTATTATTTAAATGCACAAAATCCACAAAGCATCCATAGAGTATCTTGTGGGCATGTTTGCAATAGTGCCCATCAGTGTCAGTTTGAACCTTTCTTAAACACACCTCCTCTTATTGTTCGAGGCACGTTTTCTTCATGAAAGCCAAAAAAGAGCATAATAATAATGCCCATCTAATTCTGTAATAAAAACACACGTTTTGTTTAAAATAATACCTTAAGTGTCTGCTTTAATGGGCAGCCACTGATAAATGACTTTTTCTAGTCTAATTATCTAATTACTAGATATATTAATATAAATAGAATATCATATTCAAAGCAACATAAATAGGATTACATACAGTAATTACAGTAATACAATTACAGTGCGTTTCAAAGTCAAAACAAATACTGAAAATATATACAAATATAAAAAATTATTACAAACATTTCTTTTCCTGATAATGCTTGATGGCTTGACATATTATTGAAGCTACAATGTTATACACACATATGTGTCCCGTGGGGGGCATCTTTGCAACTAACTTCTATGTGACACTGGTCTGGATATTTCACATGTAGATATAGATTTGATCTAAATCTCACATAAGCAGAAATGAAAGGAATGTCTAATTAAAACGGTCCTAATATATTCAGTAGAGGGCGCAAGGAGACAAAGTTACACCAGATTTGGAAACAGCTTTTCATTGGTGGAGAGCTGTTTCTGGTGGAGAATGAAATGTGAGACTCTGATGAGCTTCCTCTGTTTGGAGTTCCTTCATCTTTATCTCGCCTTAGCAATAAAGCTTCAGCCTCCTGTGCTTCATTATTGTGGACTTTATGCCATTCAACAACTCAGGGGGCCCTTCCGTTTCGTTTTTGAGGGGACTTCCACACCCTTCTGATCCACACACCAGCACTTGCCACGTTGCTTAGCTCGAGATGACCTACACTGCTCAAACAGAGCAAACAGAAATATAGTTTTTCAGCTGGGAATACAAGCACACATCTGTAGGAAAGGCTTTTTATTATTCCTCTCGTTTTGCAAACTCACCTGCTTCTTTCTGAAGAAACCACGCTTGTCACAGTTGGGCATGTAAATATCATCATCCTTCTTAAATACGTGGGCATCATCATGACCTTCGATAAGTGTAGTTATATATTTACGACATGGAGGCTGTAAGAGTTGAAAACACATGTGAGTGCCTGACTGAATTCATGTCTCTACATTCTTTAGGTCAATCAGTAAAAATGATGTTGTTACCTCTTCCGGATCCTCAGTAGATGCTGGAGCTAGGATCAAATAGAGACAACACATTTAGCCTTGATCACTTCTTAAGTAAACACTTTAATCAAACAACAGTCTTTCCATTCTCCACTACTCAACAACTTGAATGCACTTTACTCACAGTTATCTAGTAGCAATAATTATACTAAAATTACTATTAGATGAAGTAAAACCCATCTTGAAAATCATTAGTTATACTGCAAACTTTGAGCCATAAAAACATCTCCTTTGCTGAAAGTCGTTGTGTAAAAACATGTTTTTCTGTTCAAATGTCCTCGTCACTCCACTCTTAACTCAGGATCACATTCACGGGAATTTACTGGATGCTCACTTGTTGCTAATTTGTGTCAAATCCTGACAAACAAATCAGCAAATGGTCAGTGTTGGTGAAACCCATACACCATGAACCTCACTTTCTTGAATCTCGTCTTACCTACTGTTGGGACACTTTCAGTCGGGCTGGTGCTGCTGGCGTTACTGCAGACCCCCCTGCCTTCCAGCAGGGCACGGAGGGGCCTCGGCTCATCCTCTGAAGGGGCACAACGCAGACCTTGGGCGCAGCTGAGAGTGTAAACCCCACATGCTTCTCCAATGGCCAGAGCGGTGGCATTTAAAGCTACGACCGGCTGACGCGGTGTGGGATTTGATTTGCAGGTGGCACATCCTCTGGACGGAGTGGTCAGCTGCACTGGGGACGACAGAACCGGCTGGAGGAGTAGCAGCAACAGGATGTTTAAACACAGAAGCATCTCACACTGGAAGTTGTCCACCAATAAGGTAACAGTCCTACAAATGTACTCGTTGTATCAGGACTTTTGATCCCTCTCTATCCTAAAGTAATCCCTCTGAAGTGTGCCTGTGTTTAGAAAGCTGGATAGTAATTCCCTCAAGCCCAGGCAAAGTGATAATGAGGCTGAGAGACAACACTGGCAGCAGCTTTTAAAGAGTCGAAACCAGTGGGAAAAGGTATGGGAGGGTACGTGATGGAGAATGTTAGTTTTCCCTCTTGTTTTCACACAGCTGAGCACACCCCGTTTCCCTCGTATCCAAAACTCACTCACGCATGCTCATACCATTTGTTGTCTGTCATCCTGCAGGATAGTAATGTGTTTCTAAAACCACATAAATCACAAGTGTTTGCTATGTATGCTACTCCATTGCTCTGCCTGCTCCCCACTGAGAGGATAATTTATTAACCGAGGAGACACTTTTATGTAACCAACCAATCACAGCTCAGCAGATGAGAAATGATCCGTTTAGGCTTTTAAATCATTGCTTTTCATCATAAAAAACAAACATCAATTTGAATTATGTAACCTGCATGTATGCAATGTAATACCACCAGTAGCTGTAGTTGAAATGACCTCAAGGAAAAGCACAACATAAAATCAAGAAGCTAAGCCATCAGCATTTATTCAAGCACTGTCTTCACTGTAATTGTACAGTAGTTGTACATTTCTCAAGTAAATATAGTACTTTTTTCATATATTTATAGGAAAAGTTATTTTATATATTAACACTGTATATTTGATATACAAAAACCATAAGGGGATTATGACAATGCAAACCTAGCTCCACCTTAACTTTAATAAATATTATTTACAGTTCATGATTATTGTGACCCAACATTATATATTATTTAAAATGCATATAAATTCAGTAAAAAAACACAAATCATGACCAAACCTACTGGGGAAAAAATATTAATAATTTAAGCAGTGTTAAGTATTTAGTTGTTCAAAATGTTCATCCTTGTTTTGTTTTGACTTTAAATAGCAACCACTAAACAAAGCTAGAGCGTGTTGACAGTCTGTGACTGCAGGGCTACAGATTCAGAGGAATGGGCCGACACACAGAGAGGCTGAAGGAGTGCCACTCAACGCTGGATGACTAAGGCATTAATGGCCATGAGCAAAAAGTCCCACCCTGCAAATTCCACTGAGTCACAAACAGATTAATTAGAAGACACAATCTCAGAACTTGTCATAAATGTCACTTAAAGTACATGTTAGACTACTTGATGTGAAAATATAATAACACTGTGAAACAACAACACATTTTCTCTCTCTGTCCCTTACTGTGTTTGGATGTATTAGGCATGGGTTTATGAATTCATGGATTTTCATTAATTTGATAAGGTATTGTGGATTTTTTGGTAAAAACAACACAATCCAATTTTTTATGAAGCTTTTGTAGCAGCTTCTTAATAAAAAAATTTGAAAATGTACTAGCCAATTTTATGATTAATATCATTATCACAACAACAATTGAAGGAAAAAAATCTAATAAAATTGCCACATTGCATCACTTTTAGCAAAGTAGCAAACAATCCCTTCCTTTCACCCTTGCACAACTGTATCTGTGAACTCGGTATCAGTCAAAAGGGATTATGTGGAAACGTTGTCATCTTGACTTGGAAACGAATATTTTCAATCCTCGTTATTTTAACTAAAGATAACAACTTTGGCTACTCGATTCTTGCCTTTCTAAAAGTATACAATTCTTCATTAAATATGACGGTAAATACACATTGTTATTTGTTTTAAAAAAACAGTGGGATACCTATAGGAAAAGAAAACAATGTGGTAAAGGTGCCTCTTTTTAGTACGTTTTTTCTTTCAAGTTTTATGTGTAATGTTCGTGTAAATCATATGTTAAACACAATCTGTAAAACCTTTTGAAAGACTACAAAAACACACGGCAGTTCACAGGTTAAGGACTACACACTGTGTGTATGCTGTGATGTGATTGGTTGAGAGGGCGGGACTTCCGACGGCGCAGGTTGGACAGAAAGTGACAGACTTCACCTCCTTAAAATTGGAAGAAAACCCGAAGGACGACGCATTACAAGTTATAAAACAGTAAGGAACAACATGAAACAAAGCGGGTGTGAATACCTTGTGTTTAACCTGAGATATAGTCCTGTTTACAGTACCTTATTAGCCTTAACGTCGTACCGCTGAAAGCAGCTAGCCGGCCAACCGAGTCCTGTCTCTAGTTTAGGAAATACAATGCTGCGTTTAGGGTCGACTCGTAAAAGGAAATATCGGAGAAGTTTACACGTTACAAATAAAAATATAAGGTGATCGCTAGCATATTAGTTCATTTTACAAAAACAAATGATCAGTTGGCTCCTACACTATATTATAAATATGTTGTTATGGCTGTGAACTTATTTTGAAAAGATGAAGGCCATTATTTCAAGGAACCGACATTTTTTTCAAGCAACGAAACTACTTGACTACTTACGTCAGTCTTTATAATACTACCATATACAGTCTCCTACCATACTACCGTAATAATAGAATATACAGTCTATGAATAACCAACGAAAACATATTTTGCATTTAAATAATAATTTATGAATTTGAAAAGGTCAAACAAAGCATACCATAATAAATGCTGCAGCGTTGAGCTGATGGGTAAAGTGATTAGTTGATGGACAGAACAATTATCTTCAAATGTATTATATCCTTTTTTTTTTTTTCTTGTTTTAGTGTTTAAAGGGATGGTCTATTTTGTAGGCCTTTATTGAAAAAATGATGATACATTGTGAAACTAATAGTTAGATTAATTTAATTCTTAAAGGATTAGGTATTAAATTGATCTAATCTCTGCTTGCAGTCCTACATTATCAAGAGTTGGAAAACAGGTTTGCTGTTTTTCAGAGAGAAAAGGACCAGAAACACTGAGTCATAGTTTTGCTGTTACTCAAGCATTAGCAGATAAGCCAGTTTATCCTTCATCCTTTTTTTAAAGATAATTTTTAGGCTTCATTTCATTTATTTGACAGATGACAAAGTAGAAATGGGTGTAGAGAGTAGGAAAACTAAGACTTTACGGTTATATGGCTTTAACCACCCGGCTACCAAAGTGCTGGGAGCCAGTCTATACTTGAGTCAGTTGGAGTTCATATGGGGTGGAAGACACCCAAGGGAGACACCTGACCATCATAGGGCTAATACAAACAAGGGATTCCCGTTCGTGCCTGTTGGCAGTGTACAATCACTGTCCAGGCCTTTGCTTGTCTCTGGAATGTGGGATTAAATGGAAATGGAAAAACACAAACACATCAACTCCTCACAGGCAAGGTTTGGCCTGAGGACCAACGTTGTCAGGCAACAGTGATAATCATGTTGTGGTTAAGGGGTTTGCTTTGGTTTTAAGGAGGACCTGTGCTGTTTGTCTTAAAGCTATCCCTGTTCCCGACAAGCTTCTGTGGCTATAACAATTCACTGAACAAACGTTGGTGATTTGTTTGCGTCACAACAAAAACTTGAGGCACAAATTACCTACTTAATTTTCTTTATGCAAATATCTAATGTTTAGAGCTGCAAAGACAAAAAAGCAAATTGTCGACTTAAAATTATTAGCCAACTAATTCCATTATACATTTACTCTTTTCATAATTTTCGGACATTTTATAGACTACTAACTACTATCTAATCAAATAATTAACACACTGAAAAAAACAGAATAATATCATATATATAGCAATTATCTAAAGTTCAAATAGCTTCAACTTAATTGTATTGGTTTCAACCAACCTAATACAGTTATGTGACATTTGTTGTAGGGCTGCCCGATTATGGCAAAAATCATAATCTCGATTATTTGGGTCAATAATTGATATCACGATTATTAAAAACGATTATTCATTTACTTTGAAAACATCCATTTATTGAAAAAAATGGAACAGTATGTTTTTAACAGTTGATTACCTTGAACTTTAAGTATAATTCAACTGAAAAAAATAAAAATAAAAGAATAATCATTTTATTTCGATTACGTTGTTTTCATAATCGTTGCAAGCCAAAATCGTAATTGCGATTAAAATACGATGAATTGAGCAGCCCTAATTTGTTGACATAACACATTTAATTAAAGTCAACGTTTCAGTTTTTTCAGTGCAGATTTTTCAACAATAAAAAACACTAATCTTACTCGGGCTGCTTTTGTAATAATGTTCTCTAAATCAGTAAAACCTCTTTTGATTTGTTTTTCTGTGTGCCAGTTTGTAATGATTTTCAGACATGGACGACATAAACCTTCATTATCGCTTTCTGAACTGGAGGAGGCGAATTCGAGAAATTCGTGATGTGCGAGCGGTGCGTTACCGGGAGCGACTCAAAAGGATGCTGAGAGACGGAGACATACTCAGGTAACAGTAATGAGTACCAAGTGTGTGAGACACAGAATATGTTTGTGTTTTAGTTCCATATTTTATGCCAGAGCTTTTCCCTTGTTTGCTGAATCAGCATCACACTTTGTTTACATTTTGCAAGTTAAGATTTGCTATATTTTCTTTTTTTCTTCGTAGGTATCATGGGAATTCAGATGAAGTTGGCTGTTTTGTGGCAGCCAGGCCATTGTCCCGAAGAAATCGCTATTTTGAAGTAAGGCTTGATCATTCACATTGTGTCCTTACGAGTCTCAGTGTGAACTTTAGCTCTTCCACATGATGTTGGGTTTGGCTCAAATAGATTTCAAAACAAAAATAAAATGTAATTTTTTTGGTAAAAACATTGCAGTGTGTTAGAAACTGTCAGCATTTCATTTCCTGGGACTAGAAAGTGCATTCAACATTCTGTCACAGCAGTGAAGAAGATACATATTTATGTAGCATACATTTTTTACAATAGTTTTAGGACACAGTCCATGTTTTGTGTTGATAACAGGAGAGTTGGCAGCAAATTGTGTCTGACTGCTTTCCTTCATCTTAATGGGCCTTACCGTAAAATAATTCTCAATAAGTCCTTGGAACAGCCTTGTTCATGAGAAACAACGTTTTTCATATTGGAAACACGTGTGTTGCGTCACTTGGAAGCTCTTTCTACACTCACAGTGAAATGTGTGCCAAAACCATTTACCCCAAAGTCAGGAGCATTAAGCTGTGCATCCTGAACATCTCTTCTTCAAATACTTTAATGACACAATGTGCACGTCTTTTAATCACATCATTTTAATTGTAAAACCTTTGTGACTTTGAAGGGACAACAATATATGTTTAGATCGAAGAGGAGACCAAGCAGAAAGAGTTTTAGTCGTCCAGATATTCAGTACATTGATTCATCAGCCACATTTCATGCTCTGTTTTTCTGCTGTAAGTTCAGTAACCTAGTTTCACTTCATACAGAGGGTGTTTTAAGCCCTACACGCTTATTTGCCTTCAACCTACGCATGACATATCTCATTCACAATGATCATAAGGGCATATTTTGAACTTGAAACTCTATGTGCATGTTTTAAAAGACCATTCCTTGAATTCAGACGGAGGCAGACAAAAACATCCGTCATGTCTCTAGTCCGAAACAATCGATTCTGAAGGCGGAATAAACAGTACAGCTGATGCTGGCAGATCTTTCTAGCTGTACCTAGCTAATTAAGATCATGTAAGTTTAAACATCTTTGACCTGTAAGCCTCGGTTTATAGCTGACATGTTTCAATATGAGAAATATTTACTTAATGGCTGCATGCATGATATTGTGCTGAATGCTATCAACATGTCTTAGTCACCTGGGGGCAGATTGTTATTTGTAAACATCCTCAGCCGGCAGCTGGTATGAAGTGTCAGTACTGAACTAACACTACATTCACAGCTGCTTCATACATATATTTGTAAATATGAGTCAGTGATGGTAGTTGACTTGATGGGTGTTCTGCCTTCATCCTATACGTGGGACCCTGACAAACTGGTTTCACAAAGCCAAAATAATATGCAGCTCTTTACAAATCCTGTGCTTTTTTGCGAATGTTGATAGTCTAGACACTGTAGTTCAAAAACAGCCCAGCACAGTGACTGTTTCTCCGGATGAACCACGTTGAAACTTGCCCAACACACAAACACATCCTGCCCCGGTCTGACTCGTAGTGAAGCACTAACTAGCCCACTCAGCCTTTATTCTTGCATATTCTTCATCATTGTGACTCACTTTGTGGGAGTCACGTAGGAGGAGGGAAAAGCTTTCTGGGTAAATGGATATAGAAGCTAATAAATCATAGTTAAGAAGTTGCTGCTAGATTTTAGGGTTCGGCTGCATGTTCATCTGGGAAAGAACTTCAACGTTTCCTCTGCTCTTTGCCCTGGCCAGCAGCGCTCCGATGTCCGGCTCCCCAGGGAGGAGGTCATGTGGCCACTATTCAGTTATGATAACAATGCTGAAGGCCAGCTCTTTACTTCAGGGTTTTCACTTTGAACAAGCATGCCGTTTTGAACCTAGAGAGGCCATATCATTTTAAGTTGACTTGGAAATGACATGATATAAAAAGAGAAGTCATGCTAACTCAACAGCAAGTTGTCTCGGGTTGTAAAAAGCCTGAAGGAGCGGAAACCGAAAGCATTTCTAGCATATATACTCGAAGCAGCCAAGTGGACATTTTGTAACCCTTAAGTTGCCTCTTACCATAATGTGTGTACAACTAGGAGGTAGTCAGTTCACCACTTTAACTGAGATGTCTCAACAACTATGGGATGGATTGTAATGCTATTTTAAACGCACACCATTGGTCTGCAGAGAATCATTTCTTCTGGCTTTGGGGAACCCCCGATATCCAGTAGCAGCACCGGTATCACAAATATATTTGTCTCCCATCAGCCCTTACCTGTACTTAAGTGTGTTAGAAAGCGTATATTTGCTTATTCATCATTATACCAGCTGCATAGCCCTTTCATTAAGAGCCTGCTAGAATTAGCATTTAGCTCAATGATCAAGATTCAACTCTTAGTCTTGTTTTTTACAATCAAATGCCGTATTAGCTTAATAAACAGGATGACTTTATCTGTTTATTTGTGAACATAAGATACACGTTCTGTGCATGTTTTTTAATTTGTATTTCATTGGCTGAATCACCCATACTGTGTGACCACATCCAACAAAAGAAATACAAAGAAAGAAAATGTCTGATAAAAAAAAGAAAGAAAATAATCTGCGTCCTCCACCCTCCCTTCATGCTCCTCCTCAGTCCTTTTCTTCTGGCTTAACAAGGTTTGCTCTGCTTATGCACAATAGAAACAGCCTCCCACACATTATGTGTAACCAGTAGTTCATGACCTGTCGTTTTGGATGTAAAAAGAGCTGCTTTTGAATTCATGATTGACGTCCTAATATGTGTAAGAACAATGTGTATGACCCCTCACATCATTGAGAAGTTCAATTGGCGTGATTACCATTTTCACACATCCTCAAGATAATCTGTCCCTAACAAGAATCAAACCACCTCGGGAACGGGAAGTGTGATCTTTAACTGCAGTTTCTCTGAGATAATTCAACCTGTGGTGTGTTCAGGTGACCATCGTCGACACAGGAGTGAGGGGAATGATCGCGGTGGGCTTGGTGCCTCAGCACTACAAGCTGGACCATCAGCCGGGCTGGCTCCCCCACTCTGTGGCCTTTCATGCTGATGACGGCAAGTATGTGATATTATACATTTGTTCTTATTATACAGGTGGACTTTATTCTAGGAAATAATATAATGGCTGGTCATTTTTATTAGGAGTAGGGACATGTTGATACATCTGACTATTGCAATATTTAAAAAACATTGTATCACTGCATCTGATGAAATATTAAATACATATTTCAGTTTTTCTAGTGTCTAAATTGGCAACATCTGAAACTCTTGAGCCTTCCCTTCTTGTCTTTCCGCAGATTGTACAATGGCAACACTGTAGGACAGCAGTTTGGTCCAAAATGCTGCAGAGGAGACAGAATCGGCTGTGGCGTATCTCTGGACTCTGATGATGGACAGCTCACTGTGTTTTTTACAAAGAATGGCAAAGAGGTAAGTGCTACTTCACCCTGAAATGATTCACCTCATACAGAATGTATTCAGCTGTTACACATTTATATATCAATGTATTCAGAGTTCAAAGCTAAAGCAGTTTGTGCCTGTGTGCCTAGGTCGGCAGTGTGGAGGTCCCAGCCTCTCCTGAGGCTTTTTACCCCGCTGTGGGGATGCACTCTTTGGGGGAAGAAGTTCTGCTGGACCTGAACGCTGAGTGGGGGGTGGAGGAGGATGATGGACAGATGATTGTGGATAGTCATGAAGAGGACTGGAGCCGTCTCCATGACGTCAAGGTGACCGGCACCGTAAGTGTTGCTGAGAAAATTGACATCATTTTGATCATTTCTGCTGTGAGCAGGTCTGCCACTCAGTGACATACGAGCACAGGAACAGGCCAATTAAAGCATGTATCTTCTTGCCACAAGTGCATTTACTAATGTATTCATTACTGAAATATGTAAGTACTACAACATAAGTGATGTTATAAATAGCAATATACATATTTCAAACATTTAAATCATTAAATATGTACCAACATAGGATAAGTGGAGTTAGAGAATGTAATAGTAGGCGTAATGTACAAACAGTAAAACAGTTGCTGTACAGTTACTTTTTATGTACAGTAACAATAATGAAACAGTGTTTATGGTTCAGTCAGTGCAAGCAGGGTAGTGCTAATGACATGTTTGATAAGTATGAATGATGCAAAAACATGTAAGTAAACAAATCAAATACATTTGTGCAGTGGTAAGTGCAACGTTGCTTTTGGAGAGGTAAGTGTTTCTCTGGCCATCATGTCCAGGACCCGAGACACACAGACTGACCAAGTCCAACGCTGTCTATTCACTTGACTCTATTCAAAATGGTTGGTTTATTTAAATAACACTAAAAAGGATTGTCCAGATTTACGATCAGTAAGGCAAAGTGCAAACACCTAGATGACAAACCCTTAAGTCTCAGATAATCAATTTAGAAATAGACGTAATTATTATCTTTTGCTAGATACCTGATAAGAGGAGCAGCAGATATTCTCTGTTTGTTTCTCCCTGTCTCTCTACGGGGGACTCCACCCTCCCTGTCTCTCTGCGGGGGACTCCTCCCTCCCTGTCTCTCTGCGGGGGACTCCACCCTCCCTGTGACGGCAGGCCTGCAGTGTTTGTGTCTGACTCAGGACACATTACGCACAAAACCTGAATAGGATGGGAGGGGCTCGCGGCTCACTAGCCCTCAGGCAGTACCTTTATGCCACCCGCACATTTAATGATCCTTTATTTGTACCAATGTGGCTCTGTCCTGTATGAATGCAGGGCTGAGCTCCCCTGCAGCGCATCAATTACACAGGAAAGCTGTCAGGACACAAATGAAAAGGGTTATTAATAAAGACGGATTGGTGCTTTTCTGTGGAATTGCTCCTGAGGGCCAGAGCTGTTTGCTTTGATGTTTTTAATTGTGACGTTTACGTTTTTGGATTACAGCTTGATGTGTTTCTATTATCAAAAAATCTCTGTTTCTGGGTTTCTTCATCTACTTGCATATGCACTGGAGCGCCTGTGTAACTCACGAGGCTGTGCTGACTGCCAGAAAGACATTAAGAGGACACAAGCAATCTGGAAATGAGTCAGAATGTCCTCTTTCCAAGGAGCCTGCTGCTTCTTAATGATAGAGGAGTGAGTTTAACTTTGCTAATCGATAACCATGGTAGTAATTAAATGTTGGCCCTGGACGCTCAGATATGTTCCCTATCTTTTTATCTTCAGCCAGTTGTATTGCGTTCCCTTGTGTTCAGCTACTGCTCTGATGACATTTAGAGAAGGTCACTCTGGAAATGGACCCAGTTTTCCTGCTGTTGATGTTATCCTCTGCTGCTTGTAGTAAACAGTAATGTTATCTTCTTGGCTTTCCTTACCCAAACACTTTGGAGCAGTCAGTGATGACTAATCCAAATCCTGACCCCTTTTTCTTTGAGGACAGGAAGTATTGCATGCAACAGGATAATTGAGTAATAAAACACATTCTTTCATCTTATGTAACTAATGTCTTTATCAGCATGAGAGGAAGGCAGCAGTGCACATCAGACAAGCTAACACTAGCTAGTGACTGGGCCGAACTCAGGAGTCATTATAATAATTGAATAAATTCTTCCTCCAGTTTTATTGACATACCTAAGTATACGGTTGGTGTAACATCCTGCTTGACAATAGTTAGGCCGTGTCTACGCTCATTTATGTAAATAGTAAGAAGACCCAGATGATTGTGAGGTTAGATGGGGCAAGACTTCTGCTCTCTATGTGGGACAGATGCACTGCTTAAAGCAAGCCACTGAGACTTTTGTGAACAGCAGCCATTAGGGATGTAACGACATATTGAATATCGCGGTAAATAAACGTCTCAATACCGTTGTGAGACTGACAAAATCTACCGCAATTTTTTTTTTTTAGTTAAAAATATATAGTTTTTAAAAACCTTTATTTAACCAGAAGGTCCCATTGAGATCATCAATCTCTTTTTCAAGGGAAGCCTGTCCAACATGGCAGCACGTAGGTTACAACATGAACATGAAAACAACAGATAACACAAAAGGACATGGTATTTACAGCGCTACATGTACATACCTAGAGACGTTGACAAGTACCAACAGTATATTTATATCTCACCCTGTCAATAAGCCTCACCTTCTAAGCAATAACTGTATTGTTTTTGAAGTGGTGGAGAGACAATGCACAGTTTGACCCACTGCTGTCACCCATGGCCAAAGCATATCTCTCTGTCCCAGGAACATCAGTACCAAGCAAGAGAGTTCTTTCCACAGCAGGGGATATTGCAAACGCAAACGCCCAAACATCCCAGCCTATCTACCTGCGGAATATGTGGCAAACGCCCAAACATCCCAGCTTCTACCTGGAAATGTGGACATGCTCATATTGCTAAAAGATAACCTTGATGATGCTGAGTTAGTGATTGAGTGAGTTAGAGTTGAGTTACTTGAAAACTAAAGTGAAACTGGATTTATTCTATTGCAGGATCTGATTATTATATTGTTGACACTTTAAAATACTACTATCCTACTAAAATGCTGTACAAATCTGATTTATTATTTAATAAAGAAAATAAATTCACATTTTTTTCTTTATTTTTCAATATCGCGATAAATATCGTACCGTGGACTTTTTATCGTGATATTATCGTACCGTGAGTTTTTGGTATCGTTACACCCCTAGCAGCTATTGAGGCCACAAGTGACAAATATGATGCGATGCTTCATGTGAAACAAATCAAATCGCATTATACTCATACAGACAATTATTACAAATCACTCATTTGTTCAAAAATGATGTAACAGTCACACAAGTACAGTGACAAACAAAATTCTCATAAAATAATCTTATTGATGCATTTATGTTAAATATGTAGCTCTTTCATTAGCCACCAACATACGTTCATACTAGACTAAATTAGGCTCTAGAACTAAGTGTATTGGATTCAGCAAGGATGTGCTTTATTACTTATCAGTCAATGTTTTAAATTTCTAAGACGAATATAGTCACGAGTACACAACACTGACATTTGATCATGTTTCATAGTAATTGTGGCTAAGACATATTGTATGCAGTGACAACCAATTTGGCAAGAGAGTGTATTTACACATTAAGAAGCACAATAAGGAACAATAGATTTGATTTGCTGTCATTGTTATGGCCACCTCTAATATTCCCTCTTTTTGCTTCAGCTCTTTTGGTCTTGATCCTCTCACAAGAAGATGATCTGTCTCCAGATCAGATGTTCTGTGCCGAGCAGGTTACTGTATGTGTTGTTTCCACAGCTGCTGGAGTACGTGGGTAAGGGGAAGAGCATCGTGGACGTGGGCTTGGCTCAGGCCCGGCGGCCCCTCAACACGCGCTTCCACTACTACGAGCTGGAGATCACAGACCCTGGAGAGAAGTGCTACATCGCCCTGGGGCTGGCACGCAGGGTAACAGCCTCACTCGTAACACTACTGATCACACATGTCTTTATCAATGACACACCATATCACTTTTTCCCCGCACTCTGCTGGTTTTCTGTCGGTAAAGAAAACGTCTCTCCCCCCCCCCTCTCACCTCGTCATCGCGTTTCCTCATGTGCACCGCTGCTCTCACTGTTTCCAGTCTGAGTGATGGATGACCGAAAGAGGAAAAGCTAACAACTGAATAAATATTGTCTCATTTTACCCCTGCATCTGGTCTTCCATTGAAAGCAGGTTGTTCCATTGACATGCTAATCTACCATGTCGACTACAACACTGCAGTCAGGTTCATGAGAGGTTATTGAAAAGGTGCGAGGGGAGAATATCTGATCTTAGCTCGCTTTGTTCCAGCTTTAGAAAAGAATAAAAAGGAATTCAAAGTATGCATAAGTTCCTCAGGCTAAGCAATTAAAGGTTTAATCCTAATTAACGAGGTGATATTAAATCATAAAAGATAACAGCAAGCACTGATCCGTATTTTGTAAATAAATTAGGACTGAGAGAAGACTTGTTGAAGGACATGAAGCTTCCTCCGACTCCTCGCCAGTCGTCTGTGCACGCAGCGCCCTCGGGTCACACTCGGTGGAGAATAGAGCTTTGTCATTTCGCTGATTGTTTCCCAGGAAGTGTATTTCTCAACGCGTCTGCGGTTTTGGAGGAGCATTGTAAATCCTTCAAATGGTCATTCCTGAGGTTACGTTCTGATCCCCCCCCCCCCCCCC